TCAGTTTCTGTCACCTGATTGGTTCTGGTTTCATCGTCCCTCCTTCTGACCCTCAATAAAACCTCTTCTAAAGGCAGAGAACTTGTTTTACTCCACAGAAAGTCAGGAGCCTTCCACAAGAAAGCATCTCAGCTGGGGGTAAGTTGTAAGGGACAATTTAGAAGTTATTGTTTGAATGCCTACTAGATGACAGACATTTCCTACCTCTCAAGTGGAGCTGCCCATTATCCACCTGATGAGGACAGCTACTGAGCTCCAACTTAGAATGTTCAGAGTGCACGAGGTACTAGGTACATTCAAAAACTGAGTGCCAAAAACAGGGTATAAATGATCGCATTAACAATTTTTGTTCATTTGTATCGTTTGTTGTTGAGTCTGGGTCTTTCTAAGTTGTCAGGGTGGCCTTGTACTCACCATCTTCCTGCCACAGGTTCCCAAGTAGCTGTGATTGTACATTTGTGCAATCACCGCAGCCTAAAAATTTATTTTGATAACATATTCCAGTGATATTCTTTTGGATATGTTGAGTTAAACATATCGCTAAAATTTGTTTTTTCTAAAATTTTAAAACTTTTAACATGGCTACTAGAAAATTGTAAATCCCATGTGTGGCTTGCACTTGGGCTGACATTACATTTCTATTGGACAGTGTAATTCTAGGGAGAAAGCATCTAACGAACTGGGTAGTATTCTAGAGTTTACACACTAGTGCTCAGGGTATTAGGTTTGAAAAATAAAGTCAATCAGCATGTAAACAAAAAACAACTTGGGGGGAGCGGCTGTGGCTGAAGAAGTGGCTTTACATCATGGGTCAAACCGGACCTTGCAGGACATATTTAGGCTAAGGAATGAATATTCAGGAAGAGCCAGGTAAGGGAAGCTCAAAGAGAACAGTACTGTGAGCAAAAGGGAACAGAGATCATGGAGTCCCTGAGACAGCAATGCAATGCATGGATGAGGAGGTGACGGGGCTCAGTGTGAACTGGGCATGTGTGGAAGATCTGAGTGGAGGGATGAGGTATGAGGACAGACGGGCAGACACAGGCACTGGCTGACTGAGTTGGGATGGAGGTGAGAGACAGCACTGAGCTGAACAATGTCATTATCTTCATTATTATTTTTATTTACTTATTTATTTTGTGTGGTACTGAGGACCTAACACAGGGGCACTCTGCCTGAGCTGTACCACCATGCTTTTGTTTATGAATTTTCTTTTGAGATAAAGTCTCACCATGTTGTCTAGGTGGCCTCAAATTTGCCACTGTCCTGCCTCAGCCTGCTGAGTAGTTGGGATTACAGATGTTTGCTAAAATGCTTTCTTTAGTGTCATGTTGGGTTTTTTTGGTCTTTTACAAGATGTTTTGATTTCTTCCATGAGAATGGATTTTAGGGGAGGAGGCAGCAGGTTTAGGATCAACTTATTTGTGAGGTTAGTGAAAATATGAAGGGCTACTGACAAGGGTAGTAGGGTAGAGATGATGCAGTATATTCAGTATTAATAGGGCTAGAATTGGATTTCAGGGTAAAGAAAAAGCAATCAAAGGTGCATTCTTCATTTGGTACTTCCATGACTGAATATGTAAGCTCAGAACAGAGTATTGGGACAGTGGCTCACTTGGGAAGAACAGGATATTTAAGAGTGTCATTTGAGTAGTGTTAGTTTGGAGTTTTGTTGGGGCCTCTCATGTGGAGATGGCAGGAACTCAGTTGATTATATCAGGCCAGAGCTCTGGGGCAATGCTATGGATGATGATTTAGGTTACAAGTTGTCAACATGATATGCAAACCATGAGATTGGATTGTATCACTTATAGAATGATTACAGATAGAGCATGGGGGCGTATGGTAAGGCACAAACCCAAACCTGGAATGAAATTTATAGAATAAAATCCTCGTAAATTGGACCAAAAAGAGCATGACCAATCAATTAAAGAATGAAGACTGTATCTTGTTTGCATGTTATTTTCTCAAAGCAAAGACAGTTATATCTCTGGAAGGAAGAACTCTGATGGACCCTGCGTCACTGGCAATCAGGATAAGAATAAAGATAGGACCGGTGGCTTTGGTGACATGGAGTCACTGAGCCTCCTCCAGGGCCCACATCCAGTGAAGTGCAAGGAGCCCAGGTCACCTGCAGTGAGTCTGGAGAAATGCGAGGAGAAGAAGTGGAGGGGAAGTTGGGGTTGTCCCTTCCAGTGTCTGACTGTAGATGCGTGTCACAGAGAGAAATCTTGAGAAAGGAATGGCGCTGGAGTTGGAAAGGAACTTAGACCAAGAATCGTATCTTTTAAAGGGGAGAGTATAATAATATTTATGTCGCAGTGCGAAGAAAATAGAAATGAAATCCTGGAAGGTTTTTTGGAAGAATATAGAAGAAAAAAATGTAGGAGGCATATTTTGGGGAAGGTGAGAGAAGGGATCCAAAACAAATGTGGGAGGTCAGTATTGGGGATGGAAAAGAATTCTGAAATCAATCTTAAAGATGAGGGTGAGAATATGCTAAAAGTAGAGTGAATCACAAGGAAGTGCTGAGTTCCCATTTCAAATACATGGTTATAAAATGTAATCGCACACTGAGATAGCTGTGACATTTGGCAGTCGCTTCCCCTCTCTGAGCTGTGGTTTCATCTTGTATTGTATGATGGTGATGTTTGGCCCCAAAGCAGTTTGCTGTAATCAGAGCTGTTGGCATGTACTAGGTCTTACCACACATGGGCCATCCGGGTCAGTCAAGAAGCTCCATGGCTCACAGCTCTCCCCCACCTTACAACTAGGGTGCATCCATAATTTTGCAACATAGTCTTGTTGGCCCAGCCCCATCTGTCACAGCCCTTCCTCATTGTATTGACATCTTAAAGTCAATGAGTTAGAGATTATTGAGTATATCATCTTCTAAGTGCCTTATAGGACGTTTTAGGACAGGAACAGAAAACCTGAATTTGTTGAGGAAACAGGGTGGGAGAAGATTATGAACATAATTCTGAAGGAATCAGCCAGACTGAGGTCAAATTCTGGCTATGGTATTTTCTAACTGAGAGTATTAAACAACTAACATAACCAGTCAAAGCCTTAATGTCTTCACGTTTACAATGGTTTTATGAGTATTATAATATTTTTAACATCTTGAGTATATTCAATGCCTTATGTAAATGAACACATGCAATCTTCAAGAGCCACTGAGAGCTCTACAGGGTGGAGATAGCTGTTTGGGGTGGACAACGTTCAGAAATAGCAGCGATTACTGTTGGGAACATTGTTTTTGTCTGACCTTGAGCTTCCACAATGTACAGCCCACATCTGAGTCCCAAGACACAGCACAGACCCTGGTGAGGACGAGTTCCCATTTGTTAGTCACATGGTCTAGCCAGGATTCCCATGTCTGTTCAGGTTTAATCCTCACTTGAAAGTCTGTTTCCACCCAAAAATCACATTCATCCTGCAGAGGAGTAAACTGAGGCTCAGAGTTGATTTTGTTCAAGAACTCACAAAGATGAGATGTCCAAGAGAATTCAAACACATACAGATTTATTTAACTTAGAACCTAGGGTTCTTTACACAGTAAAAACAGTGACTTTGAACTGGGGGTGATTTTGCCTCCCTAAAGACACTTTGTCATTATTGGAGGGAAGTTGCTAATGGCATGTAGTGGACAGAGGCCACAGATGTCCCTAAACATTCTGCAATGCACAGAACAGCCCCAAACAACGAAGTATCCAGTTCAACAGTGCCAAGGTTGAGAAACCCAGCAGCACTACATTACACAGTGTCCCATAAAGACCCTAGCAAAAGAGACAAGGAAAGATAAGAAATGGAGAAAGTAGAAGGGAAATGAAGGAGGAAAATCATCATAACAGGGTACAAGCACATGTGGGTAATTCTGAGGAGCCTGTTTCAAAGGCAGTGCCATATAGCAAAGGCTCTGGAATTAGTTAAACTGGCTTCCCAAATCTTGCTGCCTCCATTGACTGGCTGGACATGATGTGGATAAGTTCAGTAGAATCCTTGGGCTATAGTTTTTATGATGATAAAATAGAGATGAGAGAATATTATAATGGATATTAAACGTGAACAACTCCTGAGTATCTGCCATTTATAGACCAAGCTGGACCTAAATCCTTCCTCTACCATTTACTATTTAAGTTACCTACAGCAGGCTTCATAATTGTTTTGGAAATCAATTTATTCCTATGAGAACAAGAAAAACAAACACTTCAGAGCAATTATGTAGACCAAACCAGACCCCATGTACAACAATCAACACGAAACATAGTCTCTAATAAGAACCTCACAAATATTAAGAAAATTTGCCACAGTCATACTCTTTATCTCACAGAACACTAAAATTGTACAAATTCTTGGCTTTCAAGAGAGGATATAAAACGGGGATGAAGACTGGGTGAAAAGTAGAGATGGGGTCTTCTTTACTGACTTCCTTTTGCACAGAATCCAGACATTGTAACATATTGCCACATAGTACCATGAATGTTCAAGACTCTCTTCAAATATAAACTCTAGGAAAACCCTTAAACTAAATAAAACACTAAGCAGACAACAGTTCCAAGACTCACACTGGGGAGGGACAAGATCCATGAGATGGCATGAACCTGTGGCAGAAGGAGAGCACCAGACTTGCTTCACACACAGATTCATGAGTAGAACCACATTGAACCGATGATTGTGAGTCTAGTGTTGTCTTCAGTATGTTAAGCTGCCTCTGCTCCATGTTGTGTTACCTGTAGATCCTCAGTTTAATATTCCAGTTGGTGGAGAAGTTGTGGTCATCCTCTTAAGTGAGAGGCAGATGTGTACTTATAATTGTGAGAATATGGAGAACTTTCCTTTCCCGTAAGAACATCCAAAAGACATCCAATTTTATGGTATTACTGGGCACCAGGATTGGTAAAATGATTCACTTGGTGGAGTGGGAGCTATAGCAGCAGGTGACATTGGGTCTGAATATGGAGGCTGTTAGATGAATCCACTCCTGAGAAATGGTCTTTGTTGAAATATTTCAGGTATGGGAAGCATGGAAGCCAACATCTCAATTCCTCCATATGAATCTGAAGGGATGCTCCATGAGTTTGCTGGCTATACTGTTCTGTGGATACTCCCAATGATGCTACTCTCACTCACTTTTGTCCTTGGTGTGCTGGGCAATGGGTTGGTGATCTGGGTGGCTGGATTCCGGATGGTGCACACAGTCACCATCATCTATTACTTGAACCTGGCCTTTGCTGACTTCTCCTTCAGTGCCACCCTACCTTTCCTCATTGTTTCCATGGCCATGAGAGGATTTTGGCCTTTTGGCTGGTTCTTATGCAAGTTCACTAACATCATGATGGCCATAAATCAATACGGAAGCATCTTCCTGATTGCTGTCATTGCTCTGGACCGCTGTATTTGTGTACTTTATCCAGTGTGGGTCCAGAACCACCGCAGTATTACTCTGGCCAAGAAGGTGATCACTGGACCCTGGATTCTTGCCGGAGTCTTTGCTTTGCCAACTTTCATCTTCTCAAATACAATAAATGATCGACAAGGGAATGTTCACTGTTTGGTCTCCTTGGAATCTTTGGGATCTACAGAGGAAGAGCAGGTGAAGATACTCATTGCAATATTACTACCTCTTGGGATTGTCCGGTTCATTATTGGCTTCTGTATGCCCATGTCCACCATCTTCATCTGTTATGGGCTCATCACTGGCAAGATTCATAGAACAGGCATCATGAAGTCCAGCCGTCCCTTTTGGGTTCTCACTGCTGTTGTGGCTTCCTTCTTCATTTGTTGGTTCCCCTTTCAACTGATTGTCCTTCTAGTCTCAGTCTGGGCCAAAGAGATCACAATGTATGAAGATAATTACAAAGTACTCCTGGTACTGATCCCTCAAACAATGTCCCTGGCCTGCTTCAACAGCTGCCTCAACCCAATACTCTATGTCTTTGTGGGTCACGACTTCCGAGAGAGACTGATCCACTCCCTGCCCATCAGATTGGAGAAGGCCCTGAGTGAGGACTTGGTCCAGACCATCAACACAGCCGCCAGTTCTGGGGCACCTCTTGCAGAGGGGGAGTTAAGAGCAATGTAAGAGGGGCTCAGGTTTCTCTCTCATCCTACCCTGATCCCACCTCCAACTTTATTTCTTCTTGATCTATGCCCTAGAATATTTGCTGTGGAAAAATACTTCTATGTCCCCTCACTTGGAGGGAAAGAAATAGATAATGAGCTCTATTGGTGTTTTGTTTTGTTTTGTTTTGTTTTGACCTAATAGTGTATCCTGATCTAAGTGGAGGTGGAGAAAGAATACAAGAGAAAAATGAATGCTGTGGACTCCTGGGACTTAGGTAAGATCATGTAAATTAAAATAAAACTTAATTTCACCATTAGGTAAAATGCTTGCTATGACGTTTTTATACTTTGGTAAAGGGGCCATAGGAGACTGAACTCAGGGAACACTGAGCTGCATCTCCAAGCCTTTTTATTTTATTTTGATACAGAGTCTGACTTAGTTGCCAAGGCTGGCCTTGAACTTGCAATCCTCATGCCTCAACCTCCAGAGTATCAGGGATTACAAGCATGCACCACCAGTTGCTAAACTTCTTTTTTTTAAATATACGACTAAGGAAGTTTCTTGTTATTCCCAGTTTTCCAAACATTTTCCTTTTTAAAAAAAATTATGAATGCTTATTAGATTTTACTAAATGTACTTTCTACATATATTCAAACGATTGTGCCATTTTTATCATTTTACTTATGTGATCATGAAGTATGTTCATTAATATTTGAATTTTAAACCATTCCTTCACATCCTGAACTAAAGCACACTCACTTCTGGTGTATTTTTTCATGGTGTATTTCATAAATTTGTAATCTATCTCCCTCAATTTGCTTAGCATGTCAGCATTTACACAAAGATGACTGTTATTATAATTTCCTCTAATGTCCTTATTGTGCATCAAACTTGCACTGGTCTCCTAAAAGACATTGGAAACTCTCCGAATCTATTCTCTGCTGTTGTATCTTTCTTCAGTGTTTACAGTTTCACTAATGAAGCCCACAGGGTCTAATATTTTCATTCAGAGAAGGCTTTTAATAAGAGGTTCAATTTCGTTAATAGTTACTATCTTATTTAGGTATCTTTTCCTCTTTTAGCTTTGGAAAACTGTAATATGTAAGGAGTTTACTCATTTCATCAAAACTGTCAAATGTACTGGCATAAAAGACATAATTATGTATGTAGCTTGATAAGGTTTCTTTGAAATAACAAAAATGTAAGCTTTCTGAAAGCAGAGATTTTGGTCTGTGTCATCACTGATGGATCCTCATCTTCCATGTGTAAAATAGTGACTGTTGAGTTCATTGAATTAATGAGTAACAGAATTTCTATTGAATTAACTCAATCAATAAATATTTACTAATGAATTAATAAACAATTTTATCACTTAGGTGCTGAGTGAGAATCTTTATTTAAAATGAACTCCAACCTTAAAACATGAAGGAGGCCAAGTTCATATTTATAAACTTCCACGTGTCTTATTCTTCCATAGTTTTGAGTTTCTGCTTGAAATAAAGGACTCTGGTTAACTGCTGTCTGGTGAATTTGTTTGTAAATGAGCCCACCCATAACATTATTCTACCCATTTCCTTGTTTTCTACTAATAACTGCTCACAAATGGACCTTCATTGTTTAACACACTTTTCCAATGGCAAAATAATGGACTTGAATGATAGGCAGCCCTATCATCAGGATCCCTTCCTCACATCCCTGCTTTACTCATCATGTGTCTTCTTGTCATGTCACCCTTAAAGTTCCAACTAAGAAGTGGCTATGGAAAATGAGGCCAGGTGGACAGGAGAATTAATAAATCCCTGCCCTGGGAGAGGAAGCTAATTGTTAATTTTCCAATATAGAAGCACAAGTTTCCCTTTCTAGAGGTTGAACACACATTGTCTCTCCTAATATCAACACCCCCAGCAAAGTGATATTGCTCATGTACCTCTCTTAAGATGTGGTCAGATGTGTGCTGATGCTTAGTCATCTGAAAACTTGGCTAGAGCTAGAAGATTCACTTCCAAGTGATCTGCACAGAAGACTTTATTAACGAAAGTGTTTAGAGGTGATGTTGTGCTGCACCTAGTGCAGTGAATTCCCAGTTTATCCCATTGCTGCCACAGTCAAAATTCCATAACCTCTGAGAGAACATCAGAAAAGTTTGGTGCAATGAATAAGATTCCACACCAACAGGACAGGACATGCCAGAGAAGAAAAGCTGTGAAATTTGGCTCCACCAAAGTTTGAGGGAGAAAAGCCATCACTTGCAATAAACACAAGCTATGACAGCTCCCATGGATTGGGTCTCTTTGCCTGTGCACCACTGTATCACACCCTCATCTTGTTGTGCACTGGACCAGGTCCATACTAAGCACAATGGGAACACTGTGACATAAGAAACCTGTGCTTTGAGAGAGGAAGGGACCTAAGATTGCCATTCTTGAGGGGGCAAAGTTGAATTGTGCTGATGGATCCTGTGTAACCCCCAGGACCTGTCTTCATGAGGAGACTTATCCTTCATCCGAAGGCTACAGTTTCCTGTGACACTCATTTTCCAATGACTCATTGTGATATTTTGCCCTTCCATTTTCATCTCCTCTCCCACCTACTGTCACAGCTGATGCCTTTGCCCTCCGCTCCAGAGAACCCACTCTCCTGCCTGATCCAGAGCACTTGTTGTCTGGCTTCACCTGTATCCCTCCCAGGACAGCCCCTCCACCCAAGCTCCAAATATCAACCCACCTTCTTTTCTCAAGGTCTTTCTTCATTTACTGTCCAGTTTCCTATGCAGAGTCAATATTGTATCACTATTCCAATCAGCACCTAATTATGCTCTGAAACACCTTAATCTTAAAAAGTAATACTCTTCGATTTTATATTATCCTTTAATTTCCACCCAATTCCTTGGTTCTCCTTCACAGCAAAATATGCTAAAGGAGTGGATGTGAGTTTTCTGTATTTATTTCTTCTCGCATTTTTCTACAACTCACTCCAAGGAGATTATTAACTAATTTTTTTTCTTTGAGACAAGGTCTTGCTGTTTAGTCCAGACTGGTCCTGAACGCAATATATAACCCGCGTTAGCTCAAACTCATAGCAATCATCTTGCCTCAGTCTTTCAAGTGCTGGGATTATAGGCATTCACACCACACCTAGCTAAAGAGATTATTGTACCCAGAAATCTGTTGATTACACCATTGTCATGTTCTGCAGCCCAGGCATGTGTCTTTCAACTGGAACTTCCATCAGTGTGGTTCTTGGCCTGGACAGTTCTAAGTAATGAACTGGGGAGAAAGTCTGCTCTAATAGTTTCAGCTGATGATATACAAGAGGGCTGGATGAAGATAAAGGACCTAGAACTAACTGGGTAACAAGAAACAGGAAATCAAGGTTTCTTGTGATTCATAATGACCCCATGAATACACCAATATGTTGTTTACATGGGCCTGTATTTGGTTCTTTCATTGATTCTAGTTTCTGAAGGGTTTCTTCAAGCTCAATACTCTGTGGGATGTAGAGATTCAACTTTCTCATCATCAAAGGTCAAGAAATTGGGTTATCAGGTCCCTCTCCTTCAAGTATGAAAGAAAAAGAGAAGGAAAATATTGAAACATGACAAATATGATAAACAACGAAAGGCAGATATAAAAATGAAGTGAAGTGAGTGATAACTAGAGACAGAGAAGTTCATACAACAGGGTAAGAACAAGGATTCTCCATTCAACCACCACTGTCCTCTAATCTCCACTCCTGTGCAAGATAATAGTATCCTAGTCCAGCAATGTTTCAGTCTTTAGGAAATTTTCGATATCATCTAAGTTTACAGAGTATAATGGAGAAATATGGGAAGACAGATTCAGAGACAGAGGTAAAGACAATCATCTTACAAACATTATTCCCTATTTTTTGCTTCAGTTAGGATATTTTTAATTATAAATAAAAGATAATTACACTTAACAATGGTTTAATCATGAATGACATTTATAGTTTACAAGAGTTTTGGTGGTGGGTAGTACTGTATACATTAAGTTATCTCTGAATATATAATGAAAAAGGATGCTTATTTTAATTGTGCCACTTTATCATCCTCAATACTGTGGATTTCATCCTGGGTGACATCTTAGGACTGCAAGACAGTGGCCATAGCACCATGCTTCACGTTACAGCATCACAACTGTTATGGCTTATATCTAAATGTCTCCTCAAAGCCTCATGCACTCATAGGTGGAGCTTTTTGCGGGTGGCTGGATCTAGGGTGTGTGAATGTGGAGTAAAGGCATGTGATCCTGGGATTAAGGGTGTTTGGTACTACATTAGTCCATTGATTGATTTAGCATAGTTCTGGTTGTGGATAATGGGAAGGCTCATCCTGTGTGTGGGTGGCACCAACCAACAGGCTTGCATCCTGAATGGAATATAAGGTGAAAAGAAGAAAGGCTTGGTGCTCACTGCTTCCTGTCTTCCCTGCTATGGACTGTTTCTCCTCTGTGATGGCCCTCTGCCGTGATGCCCTGCTTTGGAGCCAGCTGACCATGCACTGAAACTTCTACAAACTGTGAGCTGAAATAAACCTTTTCTCCTTTAATTTTGGGTATTGGATAACTTGTTTAAGCAAGAAGAAAGTAACTAAAAGACCAAGCTAGGAGGATAAGGATAAAACTGGGCATTACTGGAAATTTTTAATTAGAAATGGAATATGTTCATATTTATATGTTTTTTATTCATTAAATTTATTGGAACATTTCAGGTATACAATATGATGACACTCATCATTGGGAATTTGTACCTTCACATGATATGTCTTGGTTCTTATTTTTTTCCCCATTCCCCTGAACCTCTCTTCGACCTCTCCATCCCCCCCTATTTACAAAGACTTTGTTTCCGTTTGTTCCTTTCCTCATATTTTTTCCTTTCCCTTCTTTCCTTTCTCCTACCCCTCCCACTTCCCCTTCCTCTTCTTCTTTGGACCTTTTCTTCCTGTTTCACATTATCTATTATATATTTTGATCCTCATTTACACTTTTAGTTTTTTACAC